TCTTCTAAAACGGATCTATTGGTTCTTTTGGCAGCCCATGGCACTTTCAATATTCTCCTCCAACACCATAACTCAAAAGCATCAGTTCTTCTACCGTCTTCCTTATTCACTGTCCAATTTCTGCATGCATATGAGGTTATTGAAAATACCATGGCTTGGGTCAGGTGCACCTTAGTCTTAAAGCTGACATCTTTGCTCATCAATACTTTATAAATGTCTTGTGCAGCAGATTTGCCTAATGCAATACATCCTTTGATTTCTTCTTGACTGCTGCTCTGTGAGTGTTAATAGTTGATCCAAGAAGAATGAAGTCCTTGACAACTTCAATCTTTTCTCCATTGATAAGAATGTTGTTTTATTGTTCAGTGGTGAGGATTTTTGTTTTCTTTGCATTGAGATGCAATCTATACTGAAGGCTGTGCTCTTTGATCTTCATCAGTAATATTTTAAGTCCTCTTCACTTTCAGCAAGCAAGGTTGTATCATCTGCATCTCACAGGTAGTTAATGAGTCTTCCTCCAGTCCTGATGCCGTATTTTTCTTCATAAAACCCAGTTTCTCAGATTATTTGCTCAGCATACAGGTTGAATAAGTATGGTGGAAGATTACAGCCTTGTCACACATCTTTCTTAATTTTAAACCATTCAGTGTTTCCATGTTCTGTGTGAACAACTGCCTCTTGGTCCATATACAGATTCCTCATGAGCACAATTAAGTGTTCAGGAATACTCATACTTCACAATTTTGTCCATAGCTTGTCATGATCCACACAATTGAAAGCCTTTGATTAATCAGTAAAGCACAGGTAAACCTCTTTCTGGTATTCTCTGCTTTCAGCCAAGATTCATCGGATATCAGCAAAGGTATCCCTCGTTCCACGGCCTCTTCTGAATCCTGCTTGAACCTCTGGAAGTTCTCTGTCAATGTATGCTTGCAGCTGTTTCTGTCTTACCTTTAGTAAAACTTTACTCGCATGGGATATCAGAGATTATCCGATGATTTCCCTATTCCGTTGGGTCACCTGTCTTTGGAATGGGAACAAATACGGTTCTCTTTCAATCAGTCGGCCAGATAGTTGTCTTCCAAATTTCTTGGCTTAGATGAGTGAGTGCCTCCTGTGCTGCCTCACTTTCTTGAAAGATTTCAATTTTTCATTCCACCAATTCCTGGAAATATAGGATTGGACAAAGCACATTTCCCATGCTCATTTTAGATTGCCTTCTGGCTGTGTGGGGGCAGGTGAAGGGACACATTCAAAAATAATTCATAAAAGCCCCGTGAATTGCATGTGTAGGCCCTTATTCATGATGATGCACTGCTTATCATGAAGAGTCTAAAGATGGAGGGACAGTAATGAGACAGATCTTGTTTATTGCCCAAATTTGAATTGTTAACCATAGTTTTCCTTTAGTGTTACGGCATTATCCATAAGAAGCCCACCTCTCATATCTTCTTTTCACCTTAATCAGAGGTTGATTCTCTTTTGGAACCCATGTCTTATTCTTTGCAATCCCGTGGGGCATCTGCAGCAGTGCAGTGCAAGGAGCAGATGGTTAGGTTGTACCTTTGGACAAAACAGTACTGTAACATTGTCAAGTAGCCCCAGACCATGTGTTCACCTTACTGCAGAATATTTTACTTCGGGGATACATCAGATTTGGTGTTCACCAGTGCTCTTTTCCCCACAACTTTTGTTTGGAAATGTTGTTGTTATTGTTAAGTGCTGTAGAGTTGGTTCTGACTTATAGCAACCCTGTATAGCGTTTCTGTGTAGTGTTTCTTGTGGATTTGAACCACCAACCTTGCAATTCAAACCTATATCAAGGTTTATCCCACGTGCTTATCCCAAGGTGCCACACCAATTGAATGTGCTCACTCTACATGGGGTTGTTGTGAAATATGCTGGTATCTGAGGAGAAAAGTCTATCTTTTGACTAATTATGTAGAATAAAAACATAGACTGGAAATAGTCATTATATAGCTGTTACTTTCCTAACAGTCCAAATGTGGAAAATTTAAGGAATAGGAGGAGTTTATAGAGAAATCAGTGTCTGGAGAATGCTTGACTTAGTTCGCCAAAGCAATGTCAGTTCTGCTTCCCTGTGTCTCAGAGTTAACCTCCAGGACAACCTTACTTTTCTCTATAGATTCAGGGAGGTGTTGAGATTTGGCTGTATTTTCTGTGCAATTTTTAATGCTATTATTGCATTTCCATGAAGCACAGTACTTACTATACTATAGGCCAAATGGTATCCAAAAAAGCAGACAGAAACTTTTAAAAGCCCTGACAAGTATTCAAGCCTAAAGCATGAGAAGGGAAAGAAACAGCAAAAAATAGATTGCTCCTGTTATAAGCATTTTAGTACCAAAAAGCCCACATAGATGTCACGTAGCCCCAGAGGAAGGGCAAGAGTATAGCCTCGGGCAGTATTGTCTGCATCCCTGTTTGGTCAAGAGGCAGAGGAAGCACTTGTGACGGAAAGATAGTGTCCGGAGGAGAAAAGGGGCGAACTCAAAGAAGGTTACAGAGTCTGCCCCAAGAGCAAGGGGAATGAGTTTTCTTTGGGAAAGCTGGCAGAGATTTGAAATGAGTTTCTGGCCATTGAGTAAGCAGGCTTCAGAAGCCCCCTGCTTTCTGGGAACCTAGTTCCCATAGGCATGAAGTTCAGCATTATGAACGCGTGCTTGAGAACCTTTGACAACCAGCCCTTCCCAGCTCTTCCTTCTCAGCTCACGTTGCAGGTAAGGAGCATTTTTATTTTTGAAACCCAGGTGCACAGTCAGGGAGAAGGGAGAAAACAGTGACACCCACCTTTTTAATGAACGTTGCATCTGAAAGAGAAATTAGCATCGCCCTGAATTTTGTGTGTGATGTCAGTTAAATGAAGGTATTTTATAGTACTTTACAACAAATTGGAATCAACTAAACTGAAAATAAGCCTAGCAGCTGGGATAAGTAATCAGGTAAGTGGCCAGTTTTTGCTATTTTTGCTTTGAGTTGAAGAGAGAATTTGAATTTCTAATGTCTCCAAGGTGTACAAGTCACAACTAGGGAATGTGGTTTCTAAGGTGATTGTTTAAGATGCTTGCAGCTAAGCCTTGCCCTCCAGTATACAACTTGCTGAGGAATGTTCCTTTGGCAATGAGCCCTGCTACCTATGTCTGTGGATCAGAGAGAGGGTTGTGAATAGTGGAGGATAGAACCCTGCTTTTGGCTGAACATCAGCGAGCAGACTGGAAATAGATGACCCAGAACAAGACAGTAAATCATCCGCATTAACTGAGAGGCTCTAATGAAAGGACTGGAATGCATAGGAAGACTTTATGGCCACTCATGAAATCATCCCAAACCAGAGGAACTCTTAGAACTCTTGAGTATTACGGAAATGGGTACCGTGTTACATTGCTGAAATTTGAATATAGTCAGAATGCCCTGACATTTAAAAAAAAAAATGTCCTGGCTTTAGTAGGCAGAGTTTTACACCAGAGCTTTTCATTCCATCATCCAGTGTTTCTTACATGAATTACTTGCTGATTTTAGTATCTAAAAAAGTGCTCCGGGAATTGTCAGGGGAATGTTGGTGATGACTGTAATGGGCTTGGTGGCCCAGAATAAACCGTATGTGTGTTTGTGTGTTTGCTAGTGTGGGTCAAAGAAAGAGGAGAAAAAGTTTGAGGGAAAAGGGTATTAGGAACAATGAAACTTTGTAGATCACTCAAAATTCAAGTATTAAGAGGGTAACAAATGAAGATAAAATGATGCTTGTAATTATGGTTTATAAAGAGAAATAGGCCAGACTGAGTATATAATTTCCAATTTTTTCCTCCTCTGCAGTTGATGAATTAAGTGCAATAAACTAATCTGTAGAACATCCATATATCTAGGTTGTTTTCAATCAGCCTTAGGGAAAAATAGAGTTAGCACAGATTTCCTCATGAAAAATAGCCAGGACCTTCTCTTCCCAAATTTCTTCAGTGGTAACTTCTCCCCAAACCAGCAGCCTTTACTTGACTTCCAGTACTTGAGGTTTAGCTGTGAGAGGGGCAAGTCCTAGTGTGGCGCTGTGGGGTAATGCTCCAGACTGCAAAGCTCTTTGAAGTGCAAGGTTGGCAGTTCAAGCTCACTAGCTGCTCCTTGGAAACTCTAAACATGGTTGCTATGGGTCAGAACCGACTTGACAGCACTTAACAACAACAACAGCAATGGAAAGGGCAAAGCTTGAAATTTCCATCATCATTACCTTTTGATAATTCTGTTGGTAAACATTACCCCATCCAGGGGAGTGCACAGGAAAAGCTGCCTTTCCTGTTAGAATATAAATCAGGTGATGGCTTCACAGAGAACAAGTCTCCAATGAACCTGGCTGATACTGAAGATACATCATCAGTACTGAGCTCCAGACAGACAGCCTCTATCGCCTGACCCTGTGCAGTCAGCTGCGGTATTGTTCAAGGTGCCGTTTCACTGGCTTGATGGATCATTGTCCTCTGAAAGCATCAGATCATACTCCTGAGTCTTAGAGGCTATCTGCTCGGAGAAAAATGAGTAGGAAGAATGGAGAGAATTTATAGGACAGGAGTTCAAATGTGCTGACCTCTTGTTTTTAGAGAATCTGGTCTTTTCTGGTATCTTCCCTCTTTGTTTTATACTGCCCTCTCCTGGTTGTTAAATTCCTCACTAATGAATGTCTAGAAGGGCCAAGGGGTTGAACAACCCTTGGATGCGGCTGCTGTTTCAACTTCCCGTTAGAAAGCAGTTTCCCACTTTCTTGCATGAAATGCGGTGTTGACAGGTAGTAATTAATCCAGGTGTGCATTGATACAAGATTGCTGAAGATAGAAGTTGTAGAGACCATCTATATGAGAGTAACTTGGTCATTTATACGGACTTTGCAATGCCTGTAAGAGAAAGGATTTTATAGCCTGTTTAGATCATTGTGTGAAAATCCAGTGTTATTGGAAATAATTTGGACACTTTTTCTCATTGTTTGTATTTTGCAGTGGCTGCTAATTTACAGAAGATTGTAGATGATCCCAAAGCATTAAAAACATTGACATTTAAGTTGGTAAGTGAAAAGCTATGGAAAGAAGGTATCTATTTTGCCATGCTTTGCCAGCAAGGAATAATGATAAGAAGTTCATAACCTGCTATGTAATTTTGTGGTGTTTTTTTTCCTTTGGTATCCATTTTTTCAATTGTCATTTGCCTCTTCAACATCTAGAACCATTTTTTGACCACTCCTAGAAATGTCCTCTTCAGAGAGCATGTCTTCTTCTTGTAGAAATGTGTCTTTAACTAAGAATGGGCATTTGAGAATCTTGTAACCTGTATCTTTTCTCTTCCAGTTTGTCTGGCAACTTGACAATGTAGACAAAATTAAATTGAATTCAGGGCAACACTCTTAATAAAACCCGAGGTGAAAGTCAAATGGTTCTAACTTTTAAACATTGAGGCTGATTGCTAGAGAAATGGTCTAGATAATTGGAAGTGATTTTAGAATAGCTCACTAAAGCCTAGTGAACAAAGACATCATGTTTTTAACTCCACATTTCAAATCACATTAACAGATTCTTGTAAAGGAAGAGATATTTCAACAGTTGGTCTGCCCTTATTGTCAGCCCCCTGGGACCGAATAGAACGGTCTCATAGGGTCATCTAGACTGACATCTTTATGACAGCAGATCGTCAGTCCTTCCTGAACCACTTAGGCTGTGGTGATGGTTGTTATGTGTCTTTGTGTTACTTCTGACTCGTAGCCACCCTGTGGAGCCAGTAGCGGGCTTATTCCAGACATTTTGTTCATCAGCTACTGTTTAACTATTGTGCTACCAAGGCTATTTGTCTGCACTGGTTGGTGGTGGTGACTACGTGCTGTGGAATCAGTTCTGACTCACAGCCACCATGTGTGGGGTTTCTGAGACTATAACATTTTATGGGAGCAGAAAGCCTCCTCTTTTTCCCATATAGCGACAGGCCAATTCTGACTGCTGACCTTGTGGTGAGCAGCCCAGTTTGTAATCCACTACCTACACTACCAGGGCTCATTTGAAACTAGCACTGGGGCAGCGCAGAGACACAGAATATTGGACATTTCAAAAGTAACATAGATGGCAATGTGGTCAGAAATGGAGTGAAGTCCAGATTGTCACAAGTGACTATTTTCCTGAAAGTTTCAGCATGGAGTACATTAAGGTCTAATAAGAAGCTCGCTTTAGAATTACAAATTAATATTTTCAAGGGCCAGTCAGAATGCTGCAAGCAATTTAAAATCTAGATGGCCAGCACTTTGCTATAAATGACATACATTGATGATGTGCCTTTTTTATTTCTTGTGAAAATTAAATGGAAAATGTGTGTGGCCAAAAATGCTTAAATGATTAGTTACAGTAAATGTTTTAGCTTGATGCTAATTAACTTTGTGGATCTTGCTTCTCATCTAATTTCAGATGGTAAGGCTGGGTGACAAAAGAGCACAGAGATTTTCATAGAAAGAATTTATCTGAAGAAATTATCTTTGTTTTGATAATAAAAGAACATTTTATTCAGGCTCAGAGTGATACATAAGCAAATTGAAAAATTCATTTTCTAGTTTGGAAATACACTGTCACCTCTATAATGTTTCCAATTCACCTACAGTTTTGAAAATATGCTTCATTTATGTGAGAATATATTTATGAGAAAATGATACTCTGTGTTGGCATTTCAAGCCTATATACATGTCTCTTTATTCACTTTTTATAATGTAAGAGAGTTAGAAGTTATGCCATATCCAGAACATTCTTCTGATGTTGAATATGTAGAGAGAATTATGAGATTAAAACATTTGTGCTGATGTATTCCTACTGTCTCTAAATATAGTTACTATAAAATAGGAATATTAACACCAGCGCTTCTCTGCTTCTGGAAGTGTTAATGACAGTGCTAACTTATGACTTCTGATGTGGCGCTGTAGGATCAGCACTGGACTGTAAATCATAAGGCCGGCAGTTCAAACCCACCAACTGCTTCTCAGAAACCCTATACAGGGTCACTATGAGTCAGAACCAACTCGATGGCACTTAACACTGTAACAACTACTTATACTTTCTCTTCATACACAGTAAGAATAATGTAAGCCTCTGTCTCATCTCCTACATGCATCAGTTTATAAGTTTCCCACAATCTCTCTTGATTTTGATCTCTTCTTTTCAGTCACTCACCTCCAGCACCCTAGCAGGATTCTCTCCATTTTCCTGTAGATTCTCAGCCTCTAAAACTCATGCTCCTGCTTAACAATAGGTCTTGTTACCCTATGGCTCTTTTTAACATCTTGTACCAATAGCTGAGCAGTCCTCCACAGTTCTAAAATTCTCCAAACACTAATGACTCTCCACTGTTGTCTTCTGCAACTCAAAAGCTCCTGAACGGGGTTGATGAGGCCCTCTCTGCCCGGACCTTGTTTTTACTATCTCCTGCCTTATCTTTCTTCATCTCCTCTCTTCATTTACTCACCTTCTCCCCTCCACAACCCTCTCTCTGCATCCCTCTCTCTCCATCTCTGTCTTCCTTACTCCTGCCCATCCTTCCTTACTCCCTGTCTCCCACCCTCTACCCTTTCTCATTCTCTCTTTCTTTCTCTTCATCCCACCCTTCCTCCCTCTCCTATTTTCATCTGCTGATTCTTTGCATATCCTCTTCCTTCCTGATAGAATACTCTTTCCCCCCAGCTTACCCTGGCCTCCTCTTGATCTCATGAACTCCTAACTAGGCTTTAACTTTCTGCTTGGATTTCATTTTCTCTACGAAGTTTCCTCCAACATCCAATCCTGGCTTATGCCCCTCTCACATGCTCCCCTACAAGGGAACTCGTACTATATTGAAACTGTGTACTTTGTCATTTGTATCTCTAAGAAATCTAAAGGTTTCGAAAAGGCAGATTATCTTGGGTTTCCAGTAATTAGCAAAATGGATGCCACAAAGCAGTGACTTAGAAATGATTAAAATAGAATAACACAAGCTTTGTGGAGGAAAACTTGAGGTATCATGACTTAGTTTTCTTTGGTACTTGCTTTAAATCTCTGTAAATTGTGACTTCTGCTTCATGCCCTCTTTTCAGAAAATTACTTAGTACCCTGTGGTCTGGAGTGCAGAAATAATGAGGATCACTGCCATTTATTGTGCACACAGTATCTGACAGCTGTACATGGCTCATTTTACATTCTTCATCGCAATTAACTTAGTCCTCACAGTCCCCTAAAGTGATGATATCATTAGGTCTGTTTTATGCTTTGGGAATCCAAGATGATTCCCAAGTTGGATTAATTTGTTGAGAACCACACAGTCCTGAAAGTGGAATCGCAACTCTGGTCTAGCATCAAAGTAAGGCTTCAAACTTGTTCTTCCCGGTTCAGGCACAGCCAACAGAGTGAACCTGGATCTGACTTTGTAAAGTGTAAATGAACCAGAATGGTAAATGGAATGAGAAAAATTACAAGTTAGTGCCCTGCTGGAAACTTCATCTTCTCTCTTAGAAGACAAGGGCAACATGTGTATTACACAGCAAACAGATCTCCTTAACAACAGAGTTGGAAACAGCAGTGTCCTGCTCAAAAGATGGCAACCAACCACATATGCCGCTCTCCATGGTTCTGGCAATAATCCAGTTTCTCGCTCCTGAAAGACTCATTGTGCCTCTTCCAAGTCTCCCATTCCAGAGCCTATGGCCATAATTTTCTCCATTCCAGTTATTGTTATATTTCAGCCAAATTTTAAAATATTTTGTTCTGTTCCTGTTTCACTTCATTGGCCATCACTGCACTAGTTCAAGTTGGTTTGAAACCATTCTTAGAGGCAGACCCCTGCAGTCTTGTATTTTACAGTTCTTTGTGAGGAGTCCCTGGGTAGTACCAACAGTTAACTTGCTCAGTGGCAAACCAAAAGGTTGGAGGTTCAAGTCCACCCAGAGGCACCTGAGAAGAAAGCCTTGCAATCTGCTTCCAAAAGATTACCCATTGGCAACCCTCAGAGCACAGTTCTAGAACCGTGACACACGGGGTCCACATGAGTCAGATTAGACTTTATGGCAACTGGTTTGGCTTCTTTATGGACTGATCCTTTTGGATGACTGAATGCATCGACACTGGTTGAGACTGAATCGTATTTGCATCTTAACTAGATTGAATAATAACGTCCTGTCCTCAGCACAGGCGAGTCCTGGAGTGGAGAACCCAAGCTGCTTTAGACTGTAGCAGTGAGCATTTCCCAGTAAATGGAAATTGATGTCTTTTTCCCCAAAGATAGTTAAAGATGTTAAATAAAACCAAACTCAAAAGTGACATTCTATTTCTGCCACCTAGATTCTGTACAACCTTTGTTCAAACCTGAGAGGGTTTCTTTGTTGTTATCAACTGCCAACCACTTTGAGATCCACTTGAGGGAGTTAATTTGAACTGATTTTTTGGCCTAATCTTCTGCAGAACACTGACATCCTGATAAAACTGCAGAGGTTCATATGCATTCACCTTCATTCATCAATTTGGTTGTTTTATTGAAGTACAAAGGATCAAAGAATTTCAGCAGCATTTTTCCTCATAAGCTGCTGCTGCTCGTGGTCCTTTTAGCTCTCAGCTGTTTATCATTTGTTTTAATCTCAGAGCTTTCATTGTTTCCTAAGGAGACCATCAGGGGCCTGAAATTGTGTAAAGACAGTAATGTGTTAACATATTGGCATTGGCATTGTGGTTCTTAATCTCGACTGCACAGTGGTTTCACTTAGGTGGTTGGGGTGGGGAGGCTTTAAAAATTACTGATGCCGGAGTCTTTTTCCCAGAGACACTGACTTAATTGCCTTAGGTGGGCAGTGATGGTTCTTCAGTGGTAGAATTCTTACCTACCATGTCGGAGGCATGACTTAGATTCACTGCCATTGTATCTTATGCTCAACCACCACCCATCTGCCATTGGAGGCGTTTTTGTTGCGATGATGCTGAACAAGTTTCAGTGGAACTTCCAGTCTAAGACAAACTAGGAAGAAAGGCCCTGGTGATCTCTTTCCAAAATATCACCCAGTGGATCTGTATAGATCAC